AAGGGTGTTGTTGTTGTTGTTGTTATGTGCCATCAAGTTGGCCCTGACTCGTAACAACCCCTCCTTGGGTTTCCGAGGCGGTATCACTATGGAAGTAGGATTGCCCAACCTTCCTTCCCAGGAGTGGCTGATGGGTTTGAACTGCCAGCCCTCTGGTTAGCAGTCAAGTGCCTTACGCACTGTGCTACCAGAGTAGACATACATTAACTTGGGTGAAAAGGAAGGCAATATACAATAAGGGAGGGGGGTCAGCACCAAATGATCAAGGCAAAGGAGTTTTGAGTTTTGTTCCACGTTTTTCTCCCTCTCTATCCAGGACCTTTTAATGTTATCCCTTTCAGAGTGGTTAGTAGTGGTAGTGGGGCACCATCTAGTTTTTGATCTCGAGGCCTGGAGGCTGAGGTTCACATGGTCCATTAGTCCTTTGGACTACTTGTTTCCATGTGTCTTTGATTTTCTTCACTGGGAGGAACAAAAGAGTTAAAGGCAACAGAGGTAAATACTATTACATACACAATCCTTCAATAATAGTGATAATAATCTATGAGTAGTACATAGGTAGACACTTAAGCCGAACAGGGGTGGGAAGGAATATATATAGATTTGACAGGATATTTCTGCGTATGTATGTACATATGCTACAAATATATCCATGAATATAGTAGAGCATATGGAGGGGCAAAGTTATGAAAACTTCTTAGCCATAACCAAATACCTTGAGGGAATGAATTGTTGGACTTGAGGGCTCAGCACCATAGTCTTGGGGGATATCAAGGGCATTTGGCACAACATATATCCTACTTTGGTAAGTAATAACTAAGGTCTTAAAAGGTTGTAAATGGCCACCAAAGGTACAACTGTTGGTCTCTCCCCATCTGGAGCAAAGAAAAGTGAAGAAAATCAAAGATACATGGAAACAAGTAGTCCAAAGGACTAATGGACCTTGTCAACCTCAGCCTCCAGGACCCTGAGGCCCAAAGAACTAGATGATTCCCCACTACTAACTACTCTGAAAGGGATGACATGAAAAGGTCCTAGATAGAGAGGGAGAAAATTATGGAACTAAAAAAAAAACCAGGCTTACTGGTCAGACAGAGACTGGTGGACCTGCTGAGACCAGGGCCCTGAGTTACCCTTCAGACCTGGAACTGAAGTTACATCTATGGCTCAGTTTTCAACCAAACAATCTGTCTACAAGGTGAACAATAACACTAGGACAGTACATACTCCTTAGAACAATTAACCATTCAAGGTCAAAAGGATAGCCTTTGCTCAAAGACAAAGTTTGTAAGGCAGAAAGGGTTAGGAAAGAAGGATGAATGGAAAAAATAAACAGAGAGAGGAAGTGAGAAAAGTGATTTTACATTGAGGGGATTGCAGGCAATGACATGAAACAAAACATGTATGAATTGTTGAACGGAAAATTGATTTGCTCTGTAAACTTTCACCTAAATCACAATAGAAAGTTAAAAAATAAATAAATACCTAAAGCTGTGGAGCCTGCCACCATACACCTGTGCCTCAGATTCCTTTATGAAATATATGTATGTAAGTATATTCCATTCCACAAAATGGTTCGTACAGCTAGTTCCTATGGGACTGGTAGGCAGAGACTTGCTGGAAATTTTTTAAAAAAACACTCTTTTCTTTGAAGATACTCAGGTTTTCTTTTTTGCTTGTTTTCTTCTGATCCCTTTATTGCCTGTTTCTTATTTTTCTTTTGATCTTTATTTTTCATATAGTTTTTTCCTAATGTGTGGGGATCCTTGCATCTCTCCTCATATTTAAGAAAGAAGCACTATAAAGTTGTTTTGAAGGGAGCTTAGGAGCCCTGGTGGTACAGCTGATAAAGTACTTGGCTGCTAACCAAAAGGGTAGTGGTTTAAACCCACCAGCTGCTCCATGGGAGAAAGATGTGGCAGTCTGCTTCCGTAAAGATTATAGCCTTGGAAACTGTATGTGGGGCAGTTCTACTCTGGCCTGTAGGGCCAGTATGAGTTAGAATTAACTCAGTGGCAGTGGGTTTGGTTTGGGTTTTTTTTGTAAGATACAGCATACCAGAAGGTACTGGTTTGCTGACTATTAAGTTTTGCTGTAGGGAGATCAGACTGTGATCTGCCCTTTTTTTCTTTTTCTTTTTTTTTCTCATTGTGATTTGGGTGAAAATCCACAGAGCAAATTTACCCTCCATACAGCAGTCCACACACACTTTGTCTCATGACACTGACCAAGCCTACCCCAATGCAACAGCTCCTCCCCACCCCCAACAGCCACCTCCTCCCTGCGTCCACATCCCTCCACACACTCCCGCCCCCCTTGCTGTCTCCCTCTCCTATCCAGGATCCTCTACATAGATCTCCCTCCGAGTGGTTGACAGTGGTAGCTGGGCACCATCTAGTTCCTCTGGTCTCATAGTTATATAGGCTGCAGATCGCATGGTGCACCAGGAGCTAGGACTAATTGTTTCCATGAATCTTTGGTTTTCTTCATCCTTCTTTGCTCTGGACAAGGAGAGACCCATCACTGGCATCCAGATAGCTGCTTGCAAGCTTTCAAGATTCCACTCGCTACTCGCCCAAGTAGGAGGTGGGGAACAATGTCCTATACAGTATGTTATGGCAACTGAGCTCAACGTCCCCCATGACTATGGTCCTGAGCCCACAGTTCAACCACTCAGTCCCTCTGGGTAGCTGGCTATGACCAAGAAGCGACCACAACCCTGTCCCTCATCAGCTCCACCAGTGATCTGCCCTTTTTGTCGAGAGTCCCCCACACTGGTCAGGAGATAGAGTTTTTCTCTGAAGCCTGTTTAGTGACCATCTAAGATGCAACTAAAGCTTCAAAAAAAGAAGCTTCCAGACTCTGGCCTGGAGGGTCAAAGATACATGCCTGGCTCCCAGTGTTCTGGGTGGAGGAGACAAGAAGAGAAGTGCCCAGTGTTCAGACTAAGACTCAACACCTGTTTTCAGCCAGTGCTTAACCTGTTTACCATCCTCAGCTGTGCCAATAACCCTGTACATCTGAGGCCTATCCTGTTATATTTCACAGGGGACTAAACCTGCTGTCTCCTTCAAGGATAGGGCAAGCAGACTCTTCTGGCCCTGGAGAAGGAGGACATGACTGGTGATTTCAGCCACTCAATGTCCATATGCCCAATGTCATCTTCCAAAAGTTGTAATTACTTCTACCTAAAGAAGTCAGTTACTGCTTCCACTTTCCTCAGTCTTCCCAAATTTGTTGAAATCATTCTCTGCTTTAGTCTCCTCTCAGGATTTTTAAATTTCTTAAAAAAATGACTTCGTAACTTTTAATTCCTTTAACGTCTTTTTTTTTTTTTTTTTAATTTTTTTTTTAAATTCCTTTAATGTCATTTTAAGGGAGTTAAGAGGTCTTTGGGTGCCATAATGGTTTGCTCTTGACTACTAAACTAAAGTAAAGATTGGTGGTTCCAACCTACCCAGCAATATCATAGAAGGAAGCAATCTGCTCCCGTGAAGATTACCAAGAAAATCCTATGGTGCAGTTCTACTCTGTAACACGTAGGGTCACCATAAGTCACATCAACTCAATGGCAACAGGTTTGGGTATTTTTTTGGAAGGGAGTCTGAGGATGGAAGACAGAAGCAAGAGAGTCAATTTGCCATGTTAAATAGAAAGCTTCATGATGGTTTTTGTTGTTGTTGTTGTTGTTGTTTTTAATTGAATTTAAATCCCTTTACTCTGGACATGCCCTCTTTAGGTTGTCTGTCTCCACTGACCTGTTTCTCTGACCATACCTGCTGGCCCCCTGAAGGCAACTGAATGTAACCCCTATGCTCCAGCCATCATGCCTTCTCCCCTCTCCCTTCTTCCTTTTTCCTTTTCCCTCAAGTGTTCCTGGGCTGCTGGGCAAAACCAAAAGATTATATATGTGTGTGTGTCTTAGTTTCATCTCTGCCTTCCAGTCCCACAGGAACTAGCTGTAAGAACCATTTTGTAGAATGGAATATACTTACGTATTTACATGAAGGCCCCTTCGAAAAGAAATCCCAACCCAGCACTTACAAAGAGAAATTCAAAATACTTGGCAAAATAAAGGTTTCTTGCCCCTTATGCAGTTGGAAAGATGTTTCTCTCCTCATACGTAAATTAATCTATGTACTGCTCAGAGCAAGTTATTTTAGTCTACCAGGCTTCACAGATAGTTCCAAAAAATAGGCCTCTGTCATCCGTTTGTTTTTTTTTTTTTTTAATTCTAAAAAATTAACCAGAATTCTAGAATTAACTAGAAAGAAAAAAGTAGGCTGCTCAACTGTCAGAACACAGAAGTCAGACTGCACAATAAACATACCCCATTACCAAATCTGTTATATCACATTAAGTATTACTTTAAACTTTGAAGATTACCCTTTTAAATATACTGTATAAACTAATGACCTAGGAGGGAAAAAAAAAAAAATCAATCACTTTCCTTTAAACTTGTAAAAAGTTGTAAAATGGACTTTTCAGGAAATGCTATTGTTAGTAATAATAGATTTCAAACTGTGCAGTTCTGTAACACCCCCTTTTATTCTTGGCAAGAATTGTTACATATTTTTCAGGAATTTGGATCTCAGCTTGGTGGGCCATATGTTGTTTATACAACTCTCATGGCTCAAATATTGGGTATTTACATAGACTATACCACCTCCCTTCCAAATACACATAGGTCCATAATTAGCCCACGAGTCATCTTTCACCTAACACATGCTTTCCCTTCTCCTCTCAAAAAATTATTTTGCTAAAACAACATGTTAGTGTTTCCATAAATTTAATTTTAGATCTCTGTAGTATATGACAGGACATCAGGTTACTTACATAATGATTCCTGAGTGCTGAGCATACTAACTGTTTTAGATTAATATAGTTTTAAATTTTTTACCAAGTATATTCTTTTAATTTTGTCTGAATAGCTGCCTTTCACTCATTAAAATTTATAATATTCCTATTAAAATGATTGATGGATTTTTTTTCCTTTCTAGTTATGAAAAACCTCCTCCTGGGCTTATCAAGGTTAGTATGAATTCTGTATTCTTGCTTATTCTCTTAGACATACTATACTTGCAAACTTAGTTGCTTGTTATGAAGAACAACTGCATAAGGCTTTTCAACCTCCTTTTTTAATTATCCTGTTTCTTCCCTGCAGATACGTTTTTGGCTTTGTCATAGCTTATGTCACTGTGGAAAGTTAATCAGCCATATTTCTTTTCCCCGAGGAATCAGTACAGGCTCCCTTATGTTCCTCAGCAGTTGCTCTCCTCCTTTCTCGCTCACATGCAAATGCATCTTCCCAAAGCTCTGCTGTCCTGTATACGCTGTCTGACTCACCAGCTCAGCCCTCAGTATACCCTGTGCTGCCTCAGGCCCTCCTGCTGTCTTGGAACAGGAGTCTGAGGAGAGAACACTCCTCCAGTCCAGCCGCCCTGGTGCAGGAACCCCTGCTCCAGCATCCTGGCAGAGTGCCTGCATCTTTCTGCATGAGTAAGACTGCATGAGAGTAGCAGATAACGGCCAAAGCAACTGTTTGGTACTTTTAAGGAAAAATAGATTTCTAAAACACATTCTTCCATTTTAAATTTAATATTCATGGAAACTTTACAAAAACATAAGGAAAAAATAGCAACTTCATTGTAAGTGCAGTTATTCCAATAGTGAAAATGTATTTCAAAGATACACAGCATATGTGTGAGACTATAAAACATGGCAGTGGCCTTCAAGGTATAATAAGCTATTTTTATATAACAAGCTGTTTTTATTATTCCAGAAAAGCTGACTTATAGGCTCTAAATTCTTAAACTTTGCCTCATTCCATAAAGATTTCAAGGGAGTAAAAACTGTTTTGTGATCTTAAATGAACACTAGAACTTGGAGTTCACAAAGCATTCCAACGTGATAAACATGTAATTTTTTTCTAAGAACAGCTACTTCTCTCAATGTAGTTCTTCTGATACATTTCTTTTCTTTTTAAGTCAGATATAGCTTGTCTTTCTAATTCTTTGAGAAGGTAGTTGACCTTGAAATCTGTAGCCCAAGAGAAAGGCAATAATGTCCAAAGCAGGCAGGATAGAATTCCAATGCTTTTTTTGCCTTATTGTTTACATGTTGTTTCCCTTGTTTAGGAAGATGAAACTAAACCAGAAGACTGCATACCAGATGTACCAGGCAATGAACATGCCAGGGAATTTCTGGCTCATGCACCAACTAAAGGACTGTGGATGCCACTGGGCAAAGAAGTCAAAGTTATGCAATGTGAGTGTGGAAGAACTGCAAGTAACACTACCCAGTGTGTGCACAGTTATATAACACAATTTACAATGCATACTTACTTATTTAATTCATTCTCACAGTAGTCCTGTTAAATGTCCCCATTTCATAGATAAGAAAGCAGACTCATAGATGTTGGTAAGTTGTCTAAGGTAAGAGGTAGAGCAAAGCTTTGAATCCAGGGCTTCTGACTCCAAGACCAGTGGTCTTTCCGTAGCTGCCTTTGGAGTATACTCTAGTACCATTCCTGTAACTCAAAGGATATTCCATGGTAGAAATGCCATGGATAAAGCAAGAGATGTATTGGAGTG